CGGACTCGGAGCTATGTTCCCGAGGACGTCTTATCATTCTGTGATGAGGAAGCAGAAGGCATATCTCAGCCTCACAATGACGCCCTGGTAATCTCTATCCTTTTGAATAAAATTCAAGTTAAACGTGTTTTAGTGGATCCAGGTAGCTTAGCAAACATAATCAGATCGAGGGTTGTGGAACAACTCGGCCTACAAGATCAGATTGTACCTGCATCCCGGGTCCTGAATGACTTCAACATGGCAAGCGAAACAACAAAGGGAGAGTTTATTTTGCCAGTAAACATAGCCGGGACCATACAAGACACTAGATTCCATGTCATCGAAGGTGACATGAGGTATAATGTACTCCTCGGGAGACCATAGATACACAACATGAGGGCAGTGCCTTCAATTCTTGACCAGATGATGAAATTCCCAACAGAGGAAGGAGTGAAAACAGTGTACGGAGAGCAGCATGCTGCAAAAGAGATGTTTGCAATCGAGGAAGTGGTGCTGATACCAGAGCCCTTAACCTCGGAGAAATCGAGCACCGAAGGTAAGCTGGCTGCTAATAGCAATCACAGTCCCCAGCCTCGATGGAGTTGGAACAACAGGTAATCGAAGATGAAGAAGAGGATCTCCTTACTTCTCGAACCTTCGTCGTTCCCGAAGAGTCCGATGCAATCAAGTCAACTGTCGAGGAACTGGAACATGTCATACTTATCGAATACTTTCCCGAGAGAAAGGTATACCTGAGAACGGGATTGACCCTCGAACTCAGGAAAAAATTCATTCAATTTCTTATTTATAATATGGATTTCTTTGCTTGGTCCCATTTAGATATGACAGGGATTCAACCGGAAATCACCAAGCATCGGCTGAGCACTGATCCCAGGTTCAAATCGGTGAAGCAAAAGAGGAGGCCTCAGTCCGAGGTAAAACATGCCTTCATAAAAGACGAGGTAACCAAACTTCTTAAAATAAGATCCATTTGGGAGGTAAAGTACCCCGAGTGGTTAACCAACGTAGTTGTAGTTCCTAAAAAGGAAACAAACTTAGAATGTGTGTAGACTATAAGGACTTGAACAAAGCATGTCCGAAAGATTCTTTCCCATTGCCGAACATCGATCGAATGATCGATGCCACGACTGGTCACGAGACCATAACTTTTCTCGATGCCTACTCCGGGTACAATCAAATTCAGATGAACCCGGAAGACCAGGAAAAGACTTCATTTATTACTAAATTTGGAACTTATTGCTACAACGTCATGCCCTTCGGGCTTAAAAACGCAGGAGCTACATACCAACGCTTAATTAACAAAATGTTCGAAGAATAGATAGGTAAAACAACGGAAGTCTATATTGATGATATGTTGGTTAAGTCCCCGCACGCAGAGGACCATTTAGCTCATTTGCAGTAAACATTCGAAATCTTGAGGAAATACAACATGAAGCTTAACCCAGAGAAGTGTGCCTCCGAAGTCGGTTCGGGTAAATTCCTCAGCTTCATGGTGTCAAATCGGGGTATCGAGATTAACCCCGATAAGATCAAGGCCATCGAGGATATCAAGGTCGTGGATAGCGTGAAAGCCGTGCAAAGGCTAACGGGGCGAATAGCTGCTTTTGGTTAGTTCATTTCGAGGTTGTCAGATCGAAGTCACCATTTCTTTTCCTTGCTCAAAAAGAAAAAGGATTTTGCATGGACCCTGGAATGCCAACGAGCCTTGGAAGAACTAAAGCGATACCTATCGAGCCCGCCTTTGCTTCATACCCCGAAGGTAGATGAAAAGCTTTACCTATATTTGGCTGTGTCCGAGATAGCGGTAAATGGGGTACTAGTTCGAGAAGAGCAAGGTACGCAATTTTCTATTTATTACGTAAGCCGAACTCTAGGAGATGCTGAAACAAGGTACCCTCACTTAGAAAAATTGGCACTTGCATTAATAAGCGCATCTCGAAAGCTAGAACCATACTTTCAATGTCATCCTATATGTGTATTAACCACTTACCCCCTGCGAAATGTTTTGCATAAGCCCGACCTATCGGGCCGATTGGCCAAATGGGCCATCGAACTTAGCGGGTACGATATCGAATATCAACCCCGAACGACCATCAAGTCTCAGATCTTAGCTGACTTCGTGGCCGATTTCACGCCGGCCCTCGTACCCGAAGTGGAGAAGGAACTCCTGCTAAGTTCGGGTACATCGTCAGGGGTATGGACCGTTTTCGCAGACGGTTCCTCGAATGTGAAGGGGTCCGGGCTTGGCATTATCTTGAAGCCACCCACGGATGATACCATTAGACAATCTATTAAGACTTCTAGATTGACTAACAATGAGGCCGAGTATGAGGCCATAATTACAGGTCTCGAGCTAGCTAAAAGCTTGGGAGCAGAGGTCATCGAGGCCAAGTGCGATTCTCTATTAGTGGTGAACCAAGTAAATAAAAGTTTCGAGGTTCGAGAGGATAGAATGCAATGGTACTTGGATAAGCTACAAGTAGCTTTGCACCGCTTCAAGGAGTGGACTCTGGATCATGTGCCTCGAGAACAAAATAGCGAGGCCGACGCACTTGCTAATCTGGGATCCTCGGTCGAAGAAGATGACATCGTCCCCGGGACTGTCGTCCAATTATCAAGGTCCGTGGTTGAGGAGGGTCGTGCCGAGATAAACTCAACAAGTTTAACGTGGGACTGGAGGAATAAGTATATCGACTATCTGTAGAATGGAAAACTCCCATCGGAACATAAAGAATCGAGGGCCCTACGAACCAAAGCTGCTAGGTTTGCATTAGATAAAGATGGAACATTATACAGAAGAACGTTCGATGGACCATTGGCGGTATGTTTGGGGCCGGGGGACACCGATTATGTTCTTCGAGAGATTCACGAATGCACTTGTGGGAATCACTCCGGCGCCGAGTCTTTGGTTTGCAAAATCATTAGAGCAGGTTACTACTGGGATAACATGAAAAAAAGATTACAAAGAATTTGTTAAAAAATGTGATAAGTGTCAACGAATTGCACCGATGATCCATCATCCCAAGGAACAACTCCATTCGATCTTATCCCCATGGCTTTCATGAAATGGGGAATGGATATAGCCGGCTCTCTACCAACGTCCCCAGGTAAAGCTAAGTTATTTTATTTATGACTGATTATTTTTCTAAATGGGTGGAAGAACAAGCCTTCGAGAAGGTCCGAGAAAAAGAAGTTATTGACTTCATATGGGACCACATCATATGCCGATTCGGGATACCTATCGAGATTGTAAGTGACAATGGAAAACAGTTCATCGGCAGTAAGGTGACGGAGTTCCTCGAGCCCACAAAATAAAAAGGATTTTATCGACACCATACCATCCAACTAGAAATGGACAGGCTGAGTCCACGAACAAAACCATAATTCAAAACTTGAAGAAGAGGTTGGACGATGCGAAGGGGAAATGGAGAGAAGTTCTACCCGAGGTCCTTTGGGCATATCGAACAACATTGAAGTCCAGCACGGGAGCTACCCCGTTCTCTTTAGTGTATGGCTCCGAGGCCCTCATCCCTGTCGAAGTTGGAGAACCCAGCGCCATGTTTCGACACACATCGGAGGAATCAAATCACGAGGCCATGAATACTAGCCTCGAGCTGCTAGATGAAAAGCGAGAAACAAACCTTGTTCGGATGGCCGCACAAAAGCAAAGGATTGAAAGGTACTACAATAGAAGGACCAATCTCCGACACTTCAGAATCAGGGACTTAGTTCAACGGAAAGTTACCCTCAATACTCGAGATCCAAACGAAGGGAAACTAGGCTCGAATTGGGAAGGACCGTACCGAGTCCTCAGGGTTGTCGGCAAAGGATCCTACAAACTTGGCACGATGGAAGGTGAACAACTACCAAACAATTGGAACGTATCATTACTTAAAGGTACTACTGTTAAGGTATGGCTTTATCCTTTTTCCTATTCGAGTTTAAAACTAACTCATTGCAGATTTTCGATCGAAGCTATCGAAGACACCCCTTTTACACGAAGACCTTAGGTTTTAAAGCATGCGTTGCGCTCTTTTTCCCTTAGATCGGATTTTGTCCCAAATGGGTTTTACCGGCAAGGTTTTTAACGAGGCAACAACTATATGCTACCTAAGGAGGACTCAACAGTATCCAAGGCTTCTTTTCAATCAACCTCGAATACTGGGGGGCATCACCCTCGAATGTCATATTTTTAAGGAAAATATTTCACGCATGAGAGGGCCTCGATAGGAAATCTTTGTAATGGACCAAACGGTCAGATGAACCGTGTCCGCATAGAATAGTCGAGCCTCGACGCATGTATCAATTATTTGAAGAAGCTTCCTATTTATATCAAAAACACTTTGTGCCTCGAAGAAATTTGCTATTATTAAGATTTTTTTGGAGGGCAAGAAGACCGAAATTTGTGATGCCTATAATTATTTTCTATTATCACAGAAAGGAAGGCAAAGAGATCCCATTAGTATTGTTTTAATTAATGTCATTTTTTTCCAACTACAACTTCAACCACAATTGTTTCCTCTTCTCTCTCACCGCACGATAGCGTGCTTTTGCTAACGTACGCTAGCCAGCAATGGGGAAGGGAAGACCTAAGAGAAATACAGCTACGATTCATCGGATGGAGATTATAGGAACTAGTAACAACACGCAAAGCTACGACGAAAGAGCTCAGAATTCTCAGATCGAAGTTGAAGAAAAAACTCCAATGGAACAGTGGCCACCATTATCAGCTACAAAGGAAGGTATGAAAACACCTCCTACTATGAATACTGTACCGGTAATTGCGAGTGAGAAGACAACTGCTGAAGGTAAGTCGACATAGGTTAACCCAAAATCAAAGCAAATTGACATGCATGTGAGTAATCCGGTAGTAATTGGTGAAAATTTGGGGGAAATAAAGGGTAAGGAGGTAACTGATAAAAGGCAAGGAGAAGTAATTACGGAGAAGGCAGAGCCGGAGTAAAAAAAGTGGGCAAACTTGTTTCTAGGCGGCGAAAGGAATGGATCTGAGCTTCATTGCACCAACCATAAAAAATGGTGAGGTAATAATTAAACTATGCAAGGAGGAAGTGGAAGAGGAGACACAAAAGTGGAAACAAGCACTGATTCTCTATGTAGTAGGAAGCACCCCAACCATAGGAGCTATGGAGCGTTTCATTGCTTCAGCATGGAATTTTACAACAAAACCAAAAGTCTATTTTCATAACGATGGATATTTTGTTGTAAGATTTAACTCTATCAGTGACAGAGATGAAATTCTGTATTCTGGACCTCATATGTTAAATAACAATCCAATTATCATGAGAGTATGGTCAACTGATTTTGATTTTAACAAGGAGGTGCTGCAGATTATTTCTGTATGGGTTAGGTATCCTAATCTCCCACTCAATTGTTGGGGAGTAAAATCATTGAGCAGGATAAGTAGTGGATTAGGGATTCCCTTCTATGCAGATGCATGTACCACTCAGTTGGATCGAATTTCCTACGCTAGAGTACTAATTGAAATGGATGTTACTAAAGATCTTCCCAAAGCTATAAAGGTGACAGATCCTAATGGAAGAGAATTTCTGCAAGAGGTAGCATATGATTGGGTTCCTGAATTTTGTCACACTTGCATACAAATGGGACACCAATGTAATAAAGGAGAGCAACTAACACTTAAATCTAAAACAAAGCAACAGAAGAAGAAACAAGAATGGCAGCCCAAAGTGATCCAGAACGACAAGGGACTCAGCCAAATGTAGTAGCAAACAATAGTAAGGAGGTAGCTGTGCTTAATGGGGCAAAGGACAACTGCGTAAAATCACCTATGAAACTAGCTAGAGGAGAGCAGGAATATGCATGGAAAAAAGCTATAGGGAAATCAGTAACTAGAAGCAGGGAGAAGCCATCAACATGATAAATGGTTTCAACATACTGGCTGAGTCTGGATTGCAGCTAACATATCACAGACAGCTAGGAGAGGGCACAAGTAGTCAGAGGAGTCAAGAAGGGGTGGAAGGAGGGACACAATCTCTATTTATTCCTGTATGAAGCTTGTTACATGGAATATTAGGGGTTTGAACAACATCCCTAGGCAGAAAGAAGTCAAGAGGTTTATAAGAAGTAATAGAATAAATATAATAGCACTACTAGAACACAAAATAAAGGAGCAGAATGCCATACAAATAATAAGGAGAATCACTCCAGGATGGACTTGGTTAGCCAATTATGAATATAGTAGTAGAGGAAGAATTTGGTTACTATGGGATACCAATTAGATAGAGTGCTGGAATTTGGGAAGTCCTCCCAATACATTCACACTGCAATCCACATAAAGAGCATGAGCATGAATGTTAATTTCACTGCAGTGTATGGGCTGCATACACTAGAAGATAGGAGATGCTTATGGAGTGACTTGAATGGTTGGAATAATGTACAGTAGGGGCCATGGCTGATAATGGGAGACTACAATGCTATTAGATCAGGGGAGGATAGACGAATTGGAAACCTTGTGCAAGAGGCTGAGATTAGGGACTTCAATGACTTCATTGAGCATAATGTTTTGACAGAAATCAGAACTACTGGAAGGAATTTCACATGGACAAATGGACACACATACAGTAGAATAGACAGAGCCTTGGTGAATGCTGAATGGATGCTGCAAATGCCACATCTAGAAGTAAGGGTAATGGATCCGGGTTGTTCTGATCACTCTCCTATGTGTATTAGCTTTGAAGATACTGAAGATAAAGATCCAAGACTTTTAAGTTTCTAAATCATTTAGCTGAGCATAAAGAGTTCCTGGCCAAAGTTAAAGAAGCATGGCAAAGGAATAGTGGGATGAATATCATGAAGGATGTATGGTGCAGACTGAAAAAGGTGAAGCAAGCTATGAAAGATCTGAATAAAGCAGAGTATAGTGCAGTAGGGGACAAGATTAAGCATTGCAGACATCAGCTTAGTGAACTGCATGAACAAATGAGAGACCCTGGGCAATCTGAAGATATGAGTATAGCAGAAAAAGACACAAAGGCACAACTAGAGAAATGGCTTAGGTGGAAGAAAGTATCATGAAACAAAAATCTAGAGTACATTGGCTGAAGCTAGGTGATGCTAACACATCTTATTTTTTTGCAAGCATGAAGAGCAGATACTCTCAGAACAAAATTAAGAGTCTAATAAGGTCCAATGGGGAGATGGTGCAGACTAAACATGAGATTGAAGAGGAAGTGCTTGGCTTCTACAAGCAACTACTGGGATCATCAGCTGGAAAGTTACCAGCTTTGGTGAATAGACAACAATAGCTTCAACTGGTGAAAGATGTATCCAAAGAGGAAGTATATAAGGCACTGCTAGGTATCAATGACAACAAAGCACATGGCTGTGATGGTTTCAATGCTCTATTTTTTAAGAAGGCTTGGTCTGTGATTGGAGACAATGTTACAGAGGCAGTGATGGAGTTCTTTACAAGTGCTAACCTCTATCAACCTATCAATTGCACAATAGTTACTCTTGTGCCAAAGGTGAAAACCTCATCCAGAATAACCGAATACAGACCAATATCATGCTGCACCATCCTGTACAAAATTATCTCTAAGGTGATAACAAACAGACTACAGGGAATAATGGAGGACATAGTCGATAGAAACCAATCTGCTTTTGTGCCTGGAAGGCTCATAAATGACAACATAATATTGAGACATGAACTAGTTAAAGGTTATGGTAGGAAAGGTGTATCTCCAAGGGGCAGGCTGAAAGTTGATATGAAGAAGGCATATGACTCTATTGAATGGGACTATATGGAGCAAGTTCTAACGAGTTTGCAAATGCCTGGAAGATTTGTTCCATGGATTATGAAATGTGTGAGAAGTGTCTCCTATTCCATCATCATCAATGGGCAACATACAACTCCAATTCCATGCAAAAAAAGGATTGAGATAGAGTGACCCTCTATCTCCTTACCTGTTTGTATTGGCCATGGAATACTTGACTAGATTACTGAAGACACTAAAGATGAATCCAAACTTCAATTATCACCCTAAGTGTGCTAAAATGAATGTCACGATCCATTTTCTGAACAAGCCGGGACCTGCACTCGATCACTAAACATGACCGAGCGAACCATCTCTGCTTATCAAATCTATTATAACTCCAACCTTATATGCAACAAGGCAATACTCTAACCAAATAATTTTGATTAATTTAAATATTTAAATAAATCAAATCCAAAACTTTATTCGTAGTAACTACTGAATTACTGTTAAGTTATTATCAAAAACATCTGAATCTTAACCCAACGACTATGTCTATGAAGCCTCTACTGATAAACTGACGCACCACTCAGGACATGAGATTTCCTGGCCAGTTCTCTAAGGAACCAAAGAAATAACTAAATAAAGATGACTCAAAGGGATACTCCACGAACAAAAGCGGAGCTCACCAATAGCACTGGAAGAGAAGGAAGTCCTAACTCATAGCCTGCTCGCCTGCAAAATCGGTTCCTACGTTGTACCGCATACCAACGTATGTTCCCAAAAGAGAACGTCAGTACCATCCATTGTACTCAGTGAGTCTCAACAACAGGGGGCGAAACTTTACTAACATATACATTACGAGCAAAGGTTCTAAATACATGTAAAACATAAAGCTTATAAGAATAATTCTAAAATAATTGCATACTAGTAGTTTATGAACATTCTAAAAGAAATTCTTTTCTTTTTCTTTCTTATAAAAAAAATGCTTCACTTTATACTTTGGGAGTTCCAACTATCCTGACATATTTCTGTCTTAGTCACCGTGTGATCGGCACAGGTTCGACCCCAACCTGATCGAATAGGCCCAATCTACGAGGTGCCACTCGATTCATGGTTCTCAACGCTCATTTATCATACCTTTGCATGGCTAAGTAAATTCTTAGCAACGAGACGCTCGGCATGTGTGCTCCCTACTTTGGCACAAGTAGTTTCAGGAAGTTAATGCCTATATCAGGACCCTCGGCCTGGACGATGACCCCTTCTCAGAATAAATGATACTCCCAAAAGTCTTTTCTTTCTAAAACTTCTTCTTGTGACTTTTCAAGTCTAAATCTTGTTTGAAAGTGCTCCATCAGTATTTATAATAATATACTTGAGTGTATGCATAACATCAGCATGAAATAAAATTACTCGAGGTATGTCTAAAAGCTCTATCTAACTCCTGAAACTTTAACATGTAAGATCATGTAAAAAAAACATAAAAATATGAAGAATAGACGGTTATACTTCTCAAGTAAAATATATAAGCTTCAACTAGAATATACTTAGTCAACATGTATTCACTCGTTCCAATTAAGCACATGTTGACTCTTTAAAGTATTTTATTAAACGCTGTGTGGGCATGTTTTTGTGAGTAGAACCACTTTAGTAAAGGGTTATATCCACTCACCTCAAAACTCCTTGAGCCAATACGTAGACCCCAGTCCAATTTATACCCGTCAAATAATTGATTCTACAATAATAAATGTATTTTAATTAATTTTAAGGTTTCACACCTAAACATGGAAATTATTGTTGCTATAGAGGAAGAAGAGAATTAACCATTCACTTCTTACCAATTACCACTGCAGGGTAATTGACAATAAGGAGTTTTACATACCTGAGTTCAAGAATAAGTGAGTTGTGAAGAACCATAGAATTTTTCGTGCGTGAGAATTTTCTGGCTGCTGCCGTTCGTAAGGTTGCATTTTCTATGTTTTGTGCCGTGACTGTTCTGTATTGCTTTTAAGGCCTTTAAGCCTTTTTCTCTTTTGAATGGAGAGGCTTTAGGCTTTTAAGGCTTTAAGCCTTTTCTCTTTTGTGCCGTGACTAAAACAGAACAACACAGTTGTTCTGTATTGTTTCTTACCTTTTCCAAGGCTTTAGGCCTTTATTTTTTTCCTATGTTTTTTTTTAATTATTATTATTATTATTATTATTTTTCTTGTTTTGTTTTCGCTTAACTAATAATTAATGATACCTAATTTACTAATTAATAATATTAAAATTATTAATATTCTCCTAATTATATATTCAATTATTTATATATAGATAAGTAACTCAAAATCAATCACAAGGGTTTAAATCCGTAATAGAAGTATAATTTAAGATTATAAAAATTAAATTCTTTATTTAGCAGGTCTTGAAACTTTATAGATTTGAGGAATGTTACAATCTTCCCTCCTTAAAAAAATATTCGTCCTCGAATATTGCTAGGGACTTATTCTTAAGCTAACAATAATTCCTTAGGTCCTTGAACCTCTTAAGTTTTCTTAGCATTACTCACTCCTCCAAGGGATTCCAAATTTTGGCTAACTCCCTAAATTTTCAAAAATTTCGGCAGAGTTTCCCTTGTAAATTGGACTATCCAAAAAAATATCCCTGTCACAAATACCACAACTACACCAACAACAACCAAATATACCATAACAAGCCATTCATAGGCACCATACACCGCTCATAAACTATGTTACACACACTCCAGCAAGGAGGTACCACAATAACCAACCAAATCCTAAAGCACAACACTTTACAAAAAGTAAATAACTTTAATGAATTAAATATACTCTGACAAAAACTAAATTACTCCAACAACTAAGTATAATCTAGCAAGGACATAAACACATGCTAACTTGTATTTAATAAATAAAATATATGTCAAACCAAACCTAGGTTCACATACCTTTTTCCTCAAATAAATATGGATATTTCTTCCTCATATCTTCCTCGACCTCTCACGTAGCCTCTTTTGAATCATGATTACTCCACAAAACTTTTACCGATGTTATATCTTTTGTTGTTAACTTTCTTACTTGCCTATCGAGAATTTCTATAGGTAACTCTTCATAAGTCAAGCCTTCTTTAATTTATATGGTATCAGCAGGTATTATATGCGACTCATCATGGATGTACTTTCTAAGCGTAGACACATGAAAGACAGGATGAACAGAGGACAACTCAACGGGTAGCGCTAGCTCATAAGCCACATTTCCTTTCTTTTCTGGAATTTCATAAGGTCCGATAAATGTAGGGATAAGTTTCCCTTTCTTACCAAACCTCATAACTCCTTTCATTGGTGAAACTTTCAAAAACACCTTATCACCAACCATGAACTCTAACTCACGATGCCTCTTGTCAGAATAAGACTTTTGACGACTCTGAGCTGCTTTCAGTCTTTCTCTAATTAGCTGAACTTTCTCCAAGGCCTCACAAACAAACTCTGGACCAATCAACGGCACCTCTGCTGGTTCAAACCAACCCACTGGAGACCTACATCTTCGCCCATACAACGCTTCATAAGGAGCCATACCAATGCTGGCCTGATAGCTGTTATTGTAAGCAAATTCTATAAGTGGCAAGTGATCATCCCAATTACCTCCAAAATCTATAACACACGCACGTAGCATATCTTCGAGAGTCTGAA